CTTCTCACTTTAGCTCGCCTTCAAACGGATGTTCTTAGGCTACCCAGAGGATACTTGGTCAAGGACCTGAAGTCGTGAGCTGCTTGAGTCATATGTAAAAGAATTGTTTCTGGCCACTCCCAAGTGAATGACGATCAGAGAACTTCCCTCACTTGCGTGAACTTCTACACATGACTCCATTAATTAAAAATAAAAATATAATATGGTACATAAGCGACTGACAACTTCTATGTATTATATTTCAAAAAACAAACCGTGAGATGCAGCAAGATATAATATATGCTGTTAAGAGTGAGGAGGGAGGGATTTGATTTTCATTTAAGCGGAGTACTAGTTAGCCGGGATTGACTGTACACATGAATCAGACGAATATTGAAAATTTTCTTTGAAACATTTCTTGAATTGAAAATCGACAAATAAACTGTGTTGTCAATTTTATTCTAATATATTTTAATACTTACTTTTGCGGGGTTGATACTTTTCCTTCTCATACATTTCAGAAATATATTCAATTTATGATTTTTGGGTTTTGAAATTGTCGCGAAAAGACGCTTGTAGGCAAAGCATGCTCGGGGAGATATAATGGCGTCTGCTTTTATGAATGAATCGAATATGCTTTTGAAAGTACGTTTGCGTTCATGAATGAAAATTTTGTTGTTGACATATCTACATGTGAGAGCATATAAGTATGTATGTTGTGTATGCATTTTTTGTGTAGGAATGTCATACGCAAATATTTACATGTGTACTCATATTGTAAGTATGTATGATGATGTTTGAGACGATTGTTGTTTTTTTCAGAAGAATGTTTGTATTTTTTGATTTACATGCGTACTTATATATTATTAGTCTGAGAATGTCATACACAAATACATATGTACATATGTGTGTACGTAAATATAGAGAAGCGCGCGCTTTTTATCTTTCTGATAAATGATATCTTGATTTGAAATTGATTTGTACTTGCATACATATCTGCCGGATAGATGCGTATGAAAGTTTTAAATGATAAGAGGTGTGATTTACATATATTATTATTGTAATATATTATGTTTTTAGGATATTTCGATAATATTTCATATATGTATATAGCATATATACATATTCACATGCATACGAAATTATAAAATATTATCAAAGATAAGAAATATTTAAAAAGTAGCTTTTATTTGGACATTAACTACAAATTTTACCATGAAAATAGCGTAATTAAATAATGATGTTATCAATTTTGCATGAATTTACGAAAATTCGCAAAATGGTATTCATATCAATTGATATGATTGCATGTAAACGTATAAAAATATAAGCAAACGAGTAACATACATCTGTAATAGCAATGTATATTTCTGAGCATAATTTTCATTCAATGCTCTGTTCACTCATCTCTATTAAAATTTCTCCTTCCAAGCCAAAAGTGGTGAAATCCACTAATAGGATTTTGTTAGCTTTTGACAGTTCACATGCCTGTCCGCAATTGAACCTTCTCTATATTATAGGTTCTCTGGTTTCAGTACACGTAACTTTCTTGGTAATAACCACTTTGAGCTAAGTGGTTGTGTTAAGTCGCTATGCCAGCATAAAAGTCGAATTCTTAAAATTTTTTAGAGTATATGGTAAATAAAATCTTTTGTTCCAAAATTAAGCACATTCTTTTCATATTACTAAAATAGATAAATTTTTCAATTTATTTATACATACCTTTTTCTGTTTCTTCACAAAATATTTTAGAAGACACCTTACTTCGCATGTGAATTATTTCATCATTGTCTTGGTTTTTGATTAAATTTGCATCCAGTTTTTGATTAATGTACTTGCTAGAGTTTGTTTGACTTAAATCACTTAGAACAATTTCAGTATCACTCGGTGATTCAGATACGTTTGCAACAATTGATGTTGAATCAACGTGCGATGAAAATATATGAGGTTTCGAATAAATTATGTTAGATGTACAATCATCAGTTTCCAGCGTATATGACGAAGATTTTGGAAAGTGTATAGCATCTGATATAAGTTTTTCAGGTGGATTCTGTTGTGACAAACAAATAGTCTTCTTTTCTAACTGTCGTTTGTGATGAGTCAAAGCCGCTAATTGTTGATCTAATATAGCCGGAATGTCCAAAGTAGCGCTACGAGAAGATTTATGCAAAGTATTAGAAGTGCTGTCCATTTGTTTGGAATAGTTCGCTTTACAGACTTGATCAGTAACACACCTCAATGACACCTAAAATATAGAGAAAATTGTTAGTATACAAAATACTTTTATGTATATACTATGTACACACTATACGATAAAAATACAGTGACTCACACGTCTTATCGGATGCGTGCATTACCAATGATGGCACCCTCCAATCATAAAGTAAAAATCTTAAGAACATCAAGTTAAAGAAAAATCTTCTATTTTATTTTTGGAAACTTAAAAATAGTAATAAATTTATTCACTGGATAAAATTTAGAAAAATAACACTCAACATACAAAATTTGTTCAACATGATTTAGTGGGAACATTCCTCTCTACCGGTAATTGACACAGAGAACATTGAAATGCATAAGGTACCTTTCCGTAACGCCGTTAACTTTTTTCATCAGAACCTTCAAATGTTACTTCTAGACCAAATTTTGACTTTCCGGTTGACGTTATTATGCTCGGATGATTTCCTTACATTTGTTGAATTTTTATATATAGAACGTCTCATATACCGTATGTAACGGTAACAAATGTAACGAAAATATTCGAACATAATAACGTCAACCGGAAAGTCAAAATATATATAAAAATTCAACAAATGTAACAAAATTATCCGAACAAGTTTTCGTTCCACAATGTTTGTAAAATAGGTGAAGACTCTCATTATTCAAATATCTTTAAACAAGCTTATCATAGCTAATGCTGAGAAAGTACAAATTGTACAAGGTGCGTTCCAAAGTAAACAGGACCTTTTGAATATAATGCCTCCTGGCCTATCTTTATCGATTGTCTAGTGAGAATTTCGTGACATTTAAGTGTTAGTAGTCAGTCAAATCATCATTGAAATTTATGGAAATGGAATTGAACATCTTCAAAACATCTATTTATCGCATTTTGACCGAACATTTGGGCCACACATTTAAACCATTAGACACTCCCCGTATTCACCTTATATGGCACGGTGCTACTTCTTTCCTTTCGAAAAATACGTTTGCCTATGAAAGGAAAACGTTATGTAGACATAGAGGCCATTCAAAAGGCTTGCACCGGCATACTGGCGGCCATACCGGCCAGCGAGCTAAAAAACTCGTTCGACATGCTTTTGAATAAAATAAATTGATTTTGCCCAAAAAACCATTTGTTCTTTTTTTAAAGTCCTGTTCACTTTGAAACGAACCTTGTACTTAACACATATATGTACATGTCGACACGCCCTAATAGTTTGTGGATATACAGTCTCAGGAGTTTCATCAGATGAATAATTCGCTCATTATTGCATCAGCCGTTGATCGTGCTGTGATTGGTTGTCCAAGTTCAAGAAATACCGTTTTAGCAGGGCGACAGAGTACAGACATAAGCAGTAAGACGATCGAGAGTTAGTTTTTTGAAGAACTCGCCTGTGTAACCTTCGAAACGAACTTCGCTCTATGTATCTACAAGCAATACGCATATATTCAACAGTCATAAATAAAAAAAAGTAAGAAAGGGCTCACTGTTATGAGTAAAACACGTTCCCTTCTTTTCATATTTAAGCATGTGTTCAATATTCATGTAAGAATCATTTCAACATACTACATGGGTTTTTGTTTGCATACACATAGTATATGTATACGAATTATATAATACCGATAGTTGTAACTGAATAAGAAAAGCTTGAATCTTAATTTAATATGAGTGCATTATCGCTGACAAATATTCCTGAAGCATTGCATAGAACAATGCAAAATTTAAAAGGAACGGTCAAATGTCTGGGTTTTGGCTGTCAATTTTGCAATTAAAGTAGAATTCATTTATAATGGCGTCGCTTATAACGACCAACCGCTTTTAGCGTCGATATTATTTACTCAAGTTCGGTTTAATAGTTAGATACTGAGAAAATATGAACGTTTAGTGCGACTCCGGTTTGAGCGACAAACCGTTTATAGCGACCATTTTTTACGATAATTCGTCCGTTTAAAACGACACGCCGTGTTTTATTTCAATTTAGGTAACGAGTGACCAATACCTCGGCCCCCTCACTTTCCCCACACGCTTCACTGTTCAATTCTGCTTATTGGCGCGAGTTAATCACAGTTGATTCACTTTATTATGTATTTTGCACCATCAGGGCAAGTTCTTTTATTAATACAAAACTAAGACTAGCTACATTTTGATAATTTAGTGCTATTTATACTACTTTATGTTACTAGTTTCTATTTGCTGTCGGCTATGTTATTTGTGGTTACTATTTGCTGTCTGCTATATTATTTGAAGACACACTATCTACAATCGATTGTTTGTCGTTACAAACAGTCCCGAGAGAATAGCGTGTAGGAGATAACACTCGTTATGTGTGATACCATTTCTATTTCACACCATATATTGGAATTGCTTATCACTATTTGTTTATGCGTGGTTCGACATAAACAAGAGATGTTTGGGTTTTTTTGTGAAATGAAACGTTCCTTAACTCTCCCCTGTATTAAGATGAAATGCCCTCATTTCAAGTCATCTGGGCTTGGAGTCGACGAAGTTCGGTCTCGTATGTTTGGCGGAATAATCGTTCCTTTTTATCTTCTAAATGTACTCGATAGCATTCGCATAATTTTACAGCAGCATAGATTAATAAAGCTACAGGTATTAAAACAAGTATTAGGTACAATACGAGTATGAACTTTTCTGGTTATTCTTCAATAGGAATTATGTATTTATACATTTTTTTAATATATTTGAAAATGTATAATCTAAATTGGAGGTTAATATTTTTAGAATTTCTAATTGTTCACCTTGGTGGGTTAGAATCACATCTTTGATTTCCTGATCCTGATTGAAATATACCTTATTATCTAAATTAGTACTGTGATTAAATTGTAACAGATTTGGACCGTTAACACGTTGTCCGTTCCACAAATGTTCTCCATCAATAATTATATTTCCGTGATCTAACACAGTAAGTGGTCTATTATTTTTTTGAATAACATTACATTTTGCCTTATTATTTTCAAGCAATGGGATGGTACAGTTGTCGGGAGACTACTGTTTACAAATATTTAATTCCAGATAAGTTTTACATTTGGAAGCTCTTTTGAAATTCGCTTCACATTTTGCAACTTGAGAGTCCAATCGGACTTTACCGTGTTTGTATGCTAAAGGTATTAAGTTATATAATTTTTAGCGGTTATTTATTACGGGATATTTGTATATTGTAATTATAGCATCTTTGTACATGCATACATGAATGTCAGAATATTCTAAAATATTAATTATGGATATGTTAAAATCTTCTATGGAGGCAATTTCTTGACTTCTTTGAGGTTTAGAGTATCAGATTAAAAGTTTCCTGTTGTAGCAAAATTAATGGTATTCGTGATTGTTTCTAATTCCTTGTAAACTTCTGTAATAATTAATTCTCAGTAATTGCCGTTGGGTCTAGTGTTTCTAGTATTTTTTCAAATTGACTGTTAATCTTCCGTTGTTGATTATTGTTTTCTATCAACTGATTGAGTCCTGTCTTGATCTCTATAAGGTCGTCACGGTCAGGAGTACCGGTGATAAACTTGAGAATAGAACCTAAAAAGTTTAATGAGCGTTTGAGTCTACGATTTGAAGGTATAAGCTGTGCCTTAAGTGCCTCTATTTTATTAATGAGAATTATTTCTTCTTTGTTTTTTTTCTGCAACGTATCTGGATTTCACGATATTCTCGTATGGACCTAGGATAATTGACAAGTTTGCTACGTGGTACAGATAAGACGTATTTCCAAATAGGTAGACTGGATCGGTCTCTGTTAAAACATACTTTTTGAATTTAAAATCTGTGATTAGATCATAATGGGATACAACAAATAATAAAAATAGATTAATTAATACGGTCTCGGATCGCATTGTGTGGTTTGTTTGCGGATGTTGTCTTTATAAATAATTTCCGCTCTCGTTGTAAGTATCGTGTTCCCGCAATCTTCCTTAACTTTGTGCGGATTATATCGTTTAGCAGTTTTATTCCTACGATCTGTTTTGGAATATATAATATCTGCTGGTTTATACGTGATGTTTCTTCGTCCTTTGTTGTGGTATAGCAATAGCTTCTCCTGATTGTTCTGAAGGATTTCTTTAATCTTGGGATACTTTTTGCGATTAACGAAAACTACTTCAGGTTTGAGTCCTGTAGACAAGTTAATTGTAGAATATATTGTCGGATGGCATTAAAAAGTTCTTCACCTGGAGTCGTATTATTTTCACTAGCTAAACTCATACTGATTTCAATCAAGTGCAACCGTTCTACTTGAGCGCTAGTTGTCGAGTGATTTAATGGTGTGACAGTATGTTGTATATGTAGTCGAGTATAAACGGCCTTTGCCATGTTGCTGATAAATACATTTTCGTTATCAGTCATTAGATGTTTTTCATTTGGATACAATTGTGTAAGTATTTCTTCAATATGTTTGCTTTAGTATGAATTTTTCAGAGATAGCAATACTTCGAATATTTGTCGGTGGAGCTTATATACATACAACTATTCATGTGAAATATATCCATCTGTACATATTCTCCAGTTTTTGTTGGTATTGGTGTTTTTCCAATAGGTTGTCTGTGTGGTTGTCGTTCGTATTTGTTGGTCAAACAAATTTGACAATCTATCGCTTCTTTCTTGCACATTTCTCTGATGTTAAGCCAAAAGTAGTTAAGCAATATTTCTTGCACATTGTTTTTTTAATTTCGGTGCGCACGTCTGAGTGTTTTTTCTGCTAATTGTAATGTTCGTTTTGGTTAGTAATGTCAATTAGCAAGTTTGGTGCTATCACAAAGGTACAGCTGGGAAAGTGGGAAAGAATATCATCCTTGAAGTGGAATATTAACTCCTCATCTATTCTTAGTGCGTTAGTTATATTGGGTTTAGCTACTTGTTGTAGTTTTGTTAAAAAATCTTGCTTATTTTTGTATAAAATGTGTGACGAGTCCTACTTGGAGAAGTGGTTTTGGCTCTTTTGTGGGATCTAGAATAGGTATTATTTGATTTTTGATTGAGTTCGCAGGTTGTTTCACCCTCTTTATTTGGTCAGTTGGAGAGATCTGTGCTGAATGTTGAGAACAATCTGTATTGTTGATTTGTTGACGGGAGAGTGCGTTAGCTACTACATTTTGGTGACCAGGTTTGTAG